CTTGACTTCAACGGCACGGATGAAACAATGTCCAAGGATGCTCAAATCGACGCCAACCTCAAAATCATGTATAGGCAGATGGTTTCCAACTCCAAGAAACCGCTGTTGTTCTTTGGTTCGCCCTACAGGGCTGACACTGAACCAGATCCAGGGGGCGGTTCAATCGAAACGACCCCACATGGTCCGGTTCATTTATGGACCGGAGATAACACGCAGCCTAATTTTGAAGACATGGGGAATTTTTACTCCGCTGCAAGGGATCCAATATTTTTTTCGCACCATTCGAATATAGATCGAATGTGGAATATTTGGAAAAGTATAGGGACTAAAAATAACGATATTAACGATAAGGATTGGTTGGATACGGGGTTTTTGTTTTATGACGAGAATGCTGAGCTTGTTAGGGTCACGGTGAGGGACACTCTTGATAATAAAAAGCTAGGGTATACGTATGAAGATGTTGAGATTCCATGGCTCAAGTCTAGACCGACGCCACGTCGGACAAAGCTTGCGAGAAAGGCAAAGGCGGCTGGAGTGGCGAAGGCCACTGAGACGACGTCATCAGGGAAGGTGGTGGCGGGTAAAGATTTTCCAATAAATTTGGAGACGAAGATAAGTACGGTGGTGTCAAGGCCGAAGCCGAAGAAGAGGAGCAAGAAGGAGAAAGAGGATGAGGAGGAGATATTGGTGATTCAGGGGATTGAGCTTGACAAAGATGTGGCTGTGAAGTTTGATGTGTGTATGTGAATGACGTGGACGATGAGGATGCGGCACCGAGTGGACCCGACAAGAGCGAGTTTGCTGGGAGTTTTGTGAGTGTGCCACATAAGCAGAAGGAAAAGAGCAAGAGTTGTTTAAGGTTGGGGTTAACGGACCTGTTGGAGGATTTGGGTGCTGAAGATGATGAGAGTGTGGTGGTGACTTTGGTGCCCAGGTACGGCGCTCAGGCTGTTAAGATCGGTAGCATCAAAATTGAATTTCTTGCTTGAACAAACTGTGCTGAAACCTTTTCAGTTTCTAGTTAATGTGATCATTTTTTCCTCAATCTATATTTTAGAATTATACCAAATTAAATTTGTAATGTTGCTAGCCACATAATCTTTCAACTACAATGTGAGCACATTCTCTCATAAGCGACTTTACGTGCGACTTGCTAACATTTGAAGTTTTGATCACAAGAAAAATAGAATTATATCAGTGGACAAGACAATTTCAAAAGAGTAATGTTGGGTAGACTAAAATTGTAAACTAAATAATGTGTCACCATAAGAAATAAGTCTGTTAATCAATACTTAAGTAATAGAGTAATGCTTGGGAGACTAAATTTGTATATTAAATCTTGGAAACTAAAGGACATGAAAGTTGATGATTGATTTATTACTTAATTGTTGATAAACGTGCTTATTTTTATTGGTGACACATCATTTAGTTTGCAAATTTAGTCTCCTTAGTATTATCTTAAATTATAATCTAATTATCAACTTCTATATCCTTTAGTTTACAAAATTTGATTAACATATCTACATGCCTTATGCATTTTGGGCCAAAAAGTGAGTACCCTTCACTCCGTGCCAACGTTTCACAGGCCTTATGAACATACAACACCGAGAAAAATGGAGATACGATGCAACCAAATCCCAATAAAAGAATAAAGAGAAAAACTGAGATTAAATATTAAATGGAACACTTTTTCTAGCTTGAACACTAAAATTTAAATTAGATTTTAATACTAATGGAAATGTCAAAGTAAATTTGAACAAACAAAACTACGGATAAAAATTAAATTTGGAATGAAAGTTGTGATAAATTTAGGGGTGTGTTATCCACACATTCATTTTTACTTCTCACACACCCCTTGTTAATTTCTGTTCATTGATTTTCTTCAATTCATCTGATCCGACAACCGAAAAAAAAAGTGTGAAAGAAGTAAAAAATGTGTGTGGATATCACGATCCCTAAATTTAAACATTGGTGACCTAAACTAAGGGGGAAATTAGTATTCCAGTAAATTTATTTCATAAATTGCTTATGATGTGCTTTTATGAGCTGTAATGGGGTGTTGGGGGTTGGTGATGGCAGCGACGATCATTGCATAAGTGGTGGCAACAACAGCGTCCTTTTTCAATTTGTTTTTAATATTTTTTTGAATAATACATTCATCATTCACGAGGTCATGTATCTTTACTTAATTAATTTCATAATTGTATTTAGAGAAGTGTTATTAGCATTTAAAAAAACCTCATTCTACACTTTTCACAAATTTATTTTTCTTTTAATATATAGAAAATTTAGAGTGTAGAATGAGATTCTTGAAGTGCAAATAACAATTCTTTTATATTTATTATCTTAATATGTATTTTGAATCATATATCATTTGATCGTTCAAATGTATTCAATAATTGTACTTCATCAAAAATATATTAGTTGGTTCTCACACTGTCGATGTATTTTATACATTTGAATGCATAAATGATCTCTGATTCGAATAATTTTTCTTTATAGATAATATTCCAATGAAGATTAAAAAGCTGAACGCTTTTAATTATAAAAATTTTATACTAAAGAGGAATATCACTATATTGTAATACTAAATGATATTTAATTATCTTTTTTTACATAAGATTTAATTAAATTGAAAGATTACCTATAATTAGTGATTTAAACACGTGGCACAATGAGGACAAGGAAAATAAAGAAGATATGAAGACCAATAATGAATTTCCCCAAAAAAATGAGGAGTACTACGTACTGCATAGTGCATACACTGGATTACAGTGTCTTGAAAGTGTACTAACGGGTGGTAATATTGGCACTGTACAGAATAAATACGACTATTTAAACCTAATCAGCTTTGCATATAAACATCAGTACCCTTTATTGAATGTATTATCTCTGTCCTTACAAAAAAAGAGTGTATTTTCTCTTTCCTTTTCATGGCCTCCTCAATCTTCTGCTGGCTCTGTGATGCTATTAGTAGTTGATTTTCGGTCTCCCTTGTTTGATACAAGGTGAAGTATTTCCTCATTGTTATAGTCGAGAAATGCTAAGGAGACTATTTCAAAAGTAAAAAATTTCATGAATCCTCTACCATCTCAAAGTTTAGTAGTAATTCCGATGGGATGGAAATGGAACACACTCGACTACCTCAAATTGCATTTCATTGTGGGCAAGTTCATTTGAGGATTACTTTTAAACATGAATGTGCAGAAGGAAAAAATTGGCGTACTTTCTCAACGTTATAGGTATACATGCTATTCCTTATGTAGTTTCCAAGAGAAAATTTTAGTTGTGATGCAGTCAATCTCATGCTAAAAGCTTCATGCCATTGAAGAAGCTCGACTGCTCAAGGAAGTAAGTGATTTTTCTATCTTAAAGCTTACATTTGGAAGTATTAACTTTGATGTATTGGCTTAATCTGACTGGGTGTTTTTCTCTTCAATCCTAGCTTCCGGGCCTTGAGTAGCTTATATTATGGTTTCGTGGTGATCAGGATTCAAGCATGCATATGGATTACTCTACACAGACAGGTACACAGTTCATTAATTAATTAATTTGTTTATTTTTAAATAACGCAACATGGATCACTAGATATATATGTTTATATTCACATATATGTTCTTAAAAAGAAATTTTTACTCAAGCTGCATATCAGCAAATAAACATGTGAAGGCGTACGTATACGCTAAGATAAAGGGTAATGGAGATCATTAATTAAGATCATATTTCGTAAATTCTATGACGTAGTTGTTGATGCTTTGATTATTACTTAAGTGTTAATTAATATGTTTATTTTTAATTAGTGAAGAGATTTTCCAGCGCATGGAGAAAATAGCTTGGAACACCAACTGTTACAATACAACTAGTTGGAAACTTGAAAATAAAAGATTTCCAACCAAGTATATATTATGACACTTGGTGTTCTAGACCGTATTTTCAGCACACTGAAATTTTTTCCTATTAGTGACACATCACATAGTTTACAAATTTGATCTACCTAATATTATAACTACTAGAAAATGTCATTTTGCCGACAAAGCAAAATTTTATTGGTACAAAAATCTTTCCCCAACAAAATATCCGAATTGTAGGCTAGAAACCAATAGGTTTAAGGTGACAAATAAAATTAGGGGTGAGAAATTTTGCCATAAACCGATTTACTGACCAAACCATACTGGTTGGCTCAAAATGGTATGGTATAGTTTTGACATTTTTTCATAATCGGTTGGCATTTTACCGAACCGACAATTAATGGCATGGCTTTGGTAATTGATTTTGTATGCCGGCGGTATGCCATACCTACCGATATATATATATATTTATTTTTTTTTCTTTTTCTTTTTCTATTTAGATATTTTAAGTATTTTTTTACATGCTTGACTCCTCAATTTTAGAGTTTAGAAAATAAATGACTCCTTAGTTTTAGGGTTTTAAAAATATATGTATGTGTATATGATTCATGCCAAAATCAATATATAGAAAATATTGTTAACAAAATTGATAGCATGATGATTACTGATACTATATATACACGTACATATATATTATTTTGAATGTATATTTGTTGCTTATGTTTAGGATAATGGAGTCTAGCCAATCAACTACTAGTGCACAACATGGATTAACCCAAAATGAACCACACAATGCAACCGAACAAGCATCCCAATCTGAAAATCAAATTGAGCCCTTGGAACTGGAAGATAGCGAGGAAGAAGTGGAAACCACCGGTTGTGCCATTTACCAACCGAACCAGCCAATCATTTTGGCTGAACCGATTTTTGGCAACCGCAAGAAGACGGTTGGCTAACGGTAACTGATTTTCGGTAATTATGTATATGTGGCTGGCAAGTGGCACAAGAAATTTGACACGGTTTACCAACCGAACCCAATCCTAAATAAAATGTTGTGAAAAATAAGCTCACCCGACGAAGCATCTATTTGTCAAGAATATCGTCGACAGAGTCTATTAGAAAAAGGCGCGATTGTTTCCCTCCTTTAAACTTGTTTTTTTTTTTTTCAAGTACCGCGATTGTGGCAAGATTTTCTCTTCTTGGATTGACCATCCAAGCAGCTATTCTCGTCTGTTCTCCACCATATCAATTGCTCTCTGTTGCCGGTGCAGTTCCTCTATCGGTTCCTCATACGATTCTCTCTCTTATCAGAAACCCAAATCCAAACCCAGTTACCAACACCCAGATCGTTGTAAGTTTATAACCTTTCTCTTGTTTGAAATTTCAATTTTCAAGGTTCGATCTATCTATAATTGCTTGATATGTAATTTGGGGTTTTTTGCCTTTTCTTTTCTGGTCAACAGATGCTTTCACGGAACCCCTATCAGAGGAAACGCTCTTCCTTTCATCTCTAGGTATCTTCTCAAATTCTCTCTCAATTGATACTATAATATTTGTTAGAATTATTAGATTTAGGGGTTGGCTAAATTAATTTTACGGATTTTGATTGTGGTTTGCGTTCTGATTTCGTTTTAGATGGATAGGAGGGTTTTTTTTGTATATTCCCTGCACATTGCAAAATTCCGGGTCTATTTGGGGGGTTTTGGTGTTGCAAAGACTGAAGCTCAAAGAAAATGGTATGTATACTGACAAATGGTTGTATAGAAGTGAGTTTGTAAAACTTGGTAAGAATCTTTAAGAAATTTAAAGGCATCAGAAGCCAAAACTGAAGCTCAAAGAAATAGGCTTAAGTATGTCAAGGCATTTAAAAGTGGGCAGAAATTGATTGAAGTTCCAAGAGAAGTTCGGAAGTGGTCTCTCATTTTTGTACAATTACAATTGAAAAGGTACCTATGTTCTTTTTCATGATAAGATACAATCCTTCTTGTTTCTTGGTAGGTACAACAATGTGGACTTTGAACAATGTTAATAATATTTTCCACTATTTTGAAACAGATTTTTATTTTACAAGTAACTAGGTGACTTGTATCTTTTTGGTGGAACCTAGGTTTTGACAGTTTGATGAGCTAGAAGGCGCCATGTTTGGATTGCCATTTTTCAGTCATACTTGGGCATCGGGCAGTTCTATCTCTATTGGTATGATGAGCTGCGGTTATTCTTTCTGTTTTTCACCCTATGTTCGACATTTGTTTTGGTTTTCGATGACTACTTAATCAGTGTTTATATGATGAATATTGTAGGCATCTGAAGCAAATAAGAGTCCTCCCATAGAGGTATTCCTTTCTTACTTTCTTTATCCCTTCATTTTCTTTCCTCTTGTAAATTGTGTGGTTTTTCTTTATCTTTGAATTTGATAATTATTCATGACTTCTGTGAGAGGGACAAGTACTGCATTTTCTACTTCCTAGCAGATTGTTGTGTGAATCGTAAACAATAAAACCACATATTATTACTTGTAAAATGATTAATGGCTACAATTTGATTATTTCGGTCACACGTCAAACCAGCATCCATAAATTAAAGGTGCAACACCTTATTTGGGATAAAGTGTGAACTTAATTTTCATTGTGCCATATAGCATATTAAGTCACCCGTCAAACCCTATAAATTGTTTCCTTATATTAATGCAATAGATTGTGATTCACCTTTTATATATACTCTGAGGGCAAGTTTAGTAAACTGCCGTTTGTTCATGGTAAATGGATTCAATGATTATGACAAGTTCAGTTTTTTTTTTTTTGGTTGAACAAACAATATTAACTACACTAAAGGGAGATGAGTTGGTATATAAATAGTTGAGTATATATGTTATTACAAAATTGCGATCTTATCATAATTTCCATATCATATTTGTACTATTTTTCTAATAAAAATGAGATTCGCATGTGTTGATGGGCAAATAGAACCCACATGTGTTGATGGACCCTATCTTTATTGGAGAAAGAGTACAAATGTGATAAATATAACATTACTCATGTTATTATGAATGTATAGTTATAATGTCTACACAATACAAAGGAGAAATTAGGTTCTCATCTTTTCTTTTGCTACTCCATTGATTAAAATTCTATTTCTTTTCAATTTTTTATCAAGGTCCTTGGGTATTAATAACATCATTAATTATTTCAATAATAAAATATATTTTTTATGTCTAAATATATTCATTTAATGTTAAAAATGTTACAATTAGTATATTTATATTTATGACTAAATTTTTTATCATATATTTTTAGTTTTAGTTTGTACCCATTTTTAATTTGTAATTCTTTTTTAACTTGTACCAATTTTCTTTTCGGTTTTAATTTGTACCCATATATTAATTTCTTTTTGTGCCCATATTTTTTAAAGTTTATTTGTATTTGTACACATATATTTTTTTGTATTTGTACTTTTTATTTTGCTAAATGTACCCATGCTAATTATATGAACCCATTCATGTAAAACTTTTTAATCTTAAAATGTACTCATTCTTAAATATACCAATTTGTTATATGTAAAACGTACCCTTTTTTTGTATAAAATCTATTCAATTTTTTTTTCTAATCCATTTTTAAACTTATATGGGTACATTTTTTTTCTTTGATTTTAAAATGTATCCATGTCAAGTTTAATCGAAGAAATTTACTAATGTTATTAAGCCTAATATCTTTCTTTTTTTGTGATTTTGAAGAATGTACCCATGTTTTGATACAATAAATTTTTTGGTTAATTTTGATGAATGTACCCATATTTATACACACACACACACACACACACACACAATAGTATATTTATATTTTAATATTTTTAATCCCACAAATTATGGTTTTTTTAATTTAAAATCTCATTTATATAAACAACTAAAATTTCTAATTTCTAATTAAAAAAATATAGTAACTTACATAGAAATAAATTATCACATTAATTTCAGGGATCTTGATAAAAAATTAAAAACCAACAAGATTTCAATCAAATAATATTCATAACTAAGGACCACATCCAAAGTCTCCCAAATAAAAATAACCATACTTGATCTTCTTCTCTATGTAATCAGTTCAATCTTGTTAATGAAAATCATATATAGGAAACTCTCACAGCTAAGTATAGGAATCTCTCTATCTCTAGTCTCTTCTTAGGCCATCTCCAACCGAAGGATGGCTCGTTTTAGCCCTCTGGCTCTTCAAGAAATTAATATTTTAATGAACATTGTTGGGTCATATTTCTTACCATCTCTAACTGAGGGCCAAAGGGTCATAGGGCTAAACATAGTCATGTCACAAAAAAAACTATCTCCAATCGAGGGCCAAAAGGTCAAACATAATTTATTTTTAAATTTAAAAAAATTTGGCCGAAAACAAAAAAAAATCAAATCTAACGGTTAGGATGATACGCTCTCGTGCCACAAACAAGTACCTACATTAGGATCTTGTTGCACATCTTTGGGCCAAAAGAAGCATGAAGTAGGCATTTAAATTTTATGTTCTTAAATGTTTTTTTTTATGTTGTATAATTTTTATGTTGTTAAATGTTATTTAATGTTGTTTAATATTGTTTAATTTTGTTTAATATTGTTTAATGTTGTTTCATGTTACTTAATTTAATATTGTTTAATGACTTAGGAAGTTATAGGAATTTTCTTTTTTACTTAATTTAATGTTGTTTAATGGCTTAGAAAGTTAAAATTTGTTAAAAAAAAAATTCAAAAATAACGGTTAACTGACGTCATCTAGTTATTGTTGGAACTGGGGCCAGCCAGTTGGCCCTTTGGCCCTTTTTTGTCTAATGGGGTCCACGACCCCTTTGGCATGGCCTTTGATTGGAAATGGTTTTCAGACTATTTTCGGCCCTCTAGCCCCCTGGATCTTTCGGTTGGAGATGACCTTACTATCACTAAGAATGACTTCTAGGGATGTTTGATAACCATTTTATTTTTAGCTTTTGTTTTTATTTTTTTGAAAGCTAAAAACTGAAATCTTGTTTAGTAACTTTCACTTTTCAGTTAAAAAAATTGAAAATTATTTTCATGAGTTTTGAAAGGGTAATGTTAGACAAAATTTTAAAAACTAAAGGACTGGAAGTTGATGAATGATTTATTATTTAAGCATTGATAAACGTAATCATTCTTATTGGTAACCCATCATTTAATTTGTAACTTTTGTTTATAAATTTAGTTTTCCTAACATTACGAGAGATTTTTCAATGTGACTATCACACGAGGTGATACATCACGTGTTTTCATATAAATGGTGGGATATGTGTGCTAAAAGGTTAATAATTTAAAAATTAAAATTTTCCACCATTTACATAAAAACGCATGGTGTACCATCCGTGTTCCCGTCACAACTAAAAATTTCTCTTAACATTACCCATTCAATAATGCTATTCTTACCATCTTATTATACCACATTTAGTATACCACATGATGTGGAAGCTTAGGTGTCAACCTAGGTGGAATTTCTGTTTATTTTTGCTCAAACCCTACCCGTTCAACTTCCTTGTTAGATACGTTTCATCTCTCCACCTGATCTGATCCAACATATGATAATTCCAATGAAAATTCAAGCCAAAACCTTGGACAACATCGGGATATAACATGGAATGAAATTTTCATTCCTATAGAGGATTAGGAAAAGATTTTGGTGCTAACCAAAAGTCCATGAAGAAAAAAGAAAAGAGGTTGTCTTCCAAATCTTCTTCTATTCGGAAAATCCTCAGCAGTAGAACAGAGGAAAATATCGTATCCAATCCTTTTCATATTTTTGTTCAATGTTGCTGGAATTAAAAACCTATCAAATCCAACACTTGGCCAGAAGGCATAAACCATTAAAATTGCAAACTTGATTTGGTGGCAGAGCAAAACAATCACTGGGAGCACCATCAAGATATTCGGCCAGTTGGCAATGATGAAGGGGGTCGAGCACCATCGATCGTTGGTGAAGGAAGGTGAAATTGGAGAGCGAAGAGGGAGGAGGCCCAGCGATGAGGCTTGAAAACGGGAGCAAGTAGGTTTCATTATTATTTTTTAATTATTTTATTAATAAAAATCATTGAGTAAAATCGTAAAATCGTAAATATCCACCTTAGCTGACATGAGATTTTTTTAAAACTTATGTGGAAGTCCATCTCAATTGCCACATAAGATGGTATAAAATTATAGTATATTTAGATGGTAAGAATATTGTGAACACGAAAATTTCCTGAAACGAAAGAGATAAGAACAACGTGCACAAAATAATATTTGTATTTTGATGATTTAGGGTTACAATCTCTCTCTAATTTGATCATCTGATTCGATCTCCGTAAGGTGTTGATTTGTAGATGTTTCGTTGATCCAAGGGCCGTCGAGGCTTGATCTTGGATGAACTGTTGGATGTTTCTTCAAGGGGCCGTGGGCTTGATCTTTGAAGGTGGATTTGAGCGGATCTTCAAGGAGCCGTTGGGGCTTGATCTTGAGGATGAGTGTTTCTTCAAGGGCCGTTAAGGCTTGATCTTGAATAACGGTGATGAACGGATCTTCAAGGGCTTTTGGGCTTGATCTTGAAGAACGGTTGGATGTGTGGATTTGTTGATGATGTTGACCCAAGGGCCGTCGGGGCTTGATCTTGGAAGAACGATGAACGAAGAACGAATAAGGCTTTCTTGATTCTTCGGGATGAACGGATGATGAACAATGAACACTTTCTTCAAGGGCCGTCAGGGCTTGATCTTGAATTGGTAGAAGTTCTTCAAGGGTCTTTGGGGCTTGATCTTGAATTGGTGGATTGTTGATCCAAGGGCCGTCGGGGCTTGATCTTGGAAGAACGATGAACGAAGAACGAAGAACACTTTCTTCAAGGGCCGTTGGGGCTTGATCTTGAATTGGTGGATGATTGTTAATCCAAAGGGCCGTTGGGGCTTGATCTTGGAAGAACGATGAACGAAGAACGAAGAACACTTTCTTCAAGGGCCGTTGGGGCTTGATCTTGAATTGGTGGATGATTGTTAATCCAAAGGGCCGTTGGGGCTTGATCTTGGAAGAACGATGAACGAAGAATGAAGAACACTTTCTTCAAGGGCCGTCGGGGCTTGATCTTGAATTAGTGGATGATTGTTGATCTAAAGGGCCGTTGGAGCTTGATCTTAGGATGAACGATGAACGAAGAACGAAGAACGAAGAGAGCTTTCTTGATTCTTCGGGAACCTGGATGCTTGAGAGTTTCGGAGTTTCAGAGCTTCAGAGCTTCAAGAATTTTGCCTAATGATTTTGGTTCCTTCAAATGAATGAAATTGGCTTCTATTTATAGAATTTTCCAATGCCTAATTTTGAATATAATATTCCAGATGAAATAAGTCGTTTCTGCCAGGTGTTGACATGTGTCCTGTTTGATGACTTTTCCAACTTATTTCGATTTTTTGTTTAGACATACGCTACGTGTAAAATTTATGTAATACATGAGCGTTGAAACTTTGATTTATCGGTCAACATTTATTTACCGAAATTTCGATGTTTACAAATATCATTACTCATATTTTTATCCTGACGCTAATTATTTGGCTGACCCCATCTTGAAGTCTTTCTTCTCCTATTCTAGTTACAAATATGATACTCTTATTATATATTTGTATCATTATTTATGCATTGATGGTCTTTATCTTTATTAGAGAGATGGTACAAATAAATGTTAAGTGTGATATTACTCTACTAATGACACCATAAAAAAAAGCGGTAGTCAGCCACACAA